GGCTGTGCCTCTATGGCTCCGTCGACGATGCAAACGTGCACTCACCATGATGAGCCACCATCGCCCTTGGTAGGACACTGAGGAACTGTATCCCCATCGTGAATGTCTTCTGTACTGTGCACAGGCCTTGGTGATCCGCGGGTGCGCGACCCAGCGGGGTTGTGTCCAACCTTCCTCTGGCATGAGAAGCTTCGAGCGACAAGTTCTTCTCTTCTCTCCATCGTTCCCACGGTTAAGGAGTGAGGAGCACGTGATGATAACAATATAGCATTCATCGATCAAGAACTAACCCAACATTCACAAGGTCCGTCTTCGTCATGTGCTGCTTGTGGGTCCTGTGTTGTGTGCCTTTAGCAGGTACCGAGAGCACGTCAGCCTGGGCGACGACGCGTGGAGCTTGCGGTGCCACCTTCTGATCGACATGAATCGGAGTTTAGCGCTGCGGATGGGTGACTCTGTTCCCCGTCCGTTCTCGGTCGCGAGGGGTCGGTTCAAAACTTGGTGACGACTGCATGCTTTCTCTTGGGTGGGTAGACGGCAGGGCGTAGCGTAGGGATAGGAAACATATAAACATATAAATGAGGCAAGGCTTGATGACAGGGCGTAGCGTAGGAGTATGAGAAGTATAAATGAGTCTGAGTACAGGGCCAGACAAAATGCGTCGAGGATTTGGCCGCGTGAATGTTCGGTTCGTTCTTGATCGATGAATGCTACATTGTTGTCATCGTGTCGGATTTTGAATTGGTGTGCGCACAACTGAGTGTGCTATCTGGGTGTACCATCTTTCTTTCTTTTTTTTTTTTTTTTTTTTTTTTTTAAGGATGGCAGTCTTGAGAGATATCCACAGGGGCGAGGTCCCACTAGCAACGGGATAGGATAGAAACGAGTTTGTGGGGCAGTTGACTGACCCAAATCCTGCCGTGCAGTACTCGTGATCCCACGGTCAGTATTTTACTTGTATTACCCAAAAAAGTAAGGAGATCTTCGTTCCCCTCCTCCTCTCCTTAACACTGGGCATGGCCGTGCAAAGAAAGCTTCCCGCCAGAATCTTTTCAATCGGTTGGGGGTGTGGCCAACCCCAAAGGAGGGTGGGGTCGGCCTTGGGCCCACTGGATAGAATATTTTCAGTATTTAACTTGCTGTTGTGCAATTATCTCATTGGGTGGAGCCCTCCTTTAATCACGGAGTATATGGAGGGTGTCAGGATCAGTGCTGACAGAAGTCAAGTTTATTCCAGAAAATGTGGCGGTTACTTTGTTCACTGTTGTTGCAACCACCACCATCAGATCATTTCCGATCTGATGGCTGGGAAGCACTCTGCCGTGATTTCCGGTGGGAGGTCTCTGTTTCTTTTCTTTTTTTTTTGCCTTTCTCCTGTTTTCTCGGCCCGGAAATTCGTAATGAACCTGTCAGCCCGGTGCCACTCAGTGTCACACTGGATCGGCCACACTCCTATCCGACTGCTAATGGGACCTCGCCCCAGGTGCCTCGAATCGCTTTCCTTCGGGTGTATCATCATACTCCGTTCTCATGCTGGATCTGTCTTTGCTGGGCAGTTTGCCATTTCCAGTTCCATAACTTCCATTTTTGGAGAGTGATTCGAGTGTGGCCTACAGCATGAAAGAAGAAAAGGAGGGAAAAGAGGAAAAGAAAAGAAAGGGAAATGAGAACTTCTAGAAAGCAAAAACCAAAAGCGGATAAGAAGAAAGACTGATCTGTTTCACCCTTTTGCTATAAACCCTATAAGGCTATAACTATGTTTCACTCTTTTGATATAAGACTCTATCTGAAAAAGTGGTAGCAGTAGGACGGCTACGCAGGCAGGGCCTCTCTGTCTCTGGAAAAGAGGTCGCAGTAGGACGAGAACGCAGGGCCTGATTCCCCGCTCTTTCTTTTTTTTCCTTTTCTTTTCTTTTCTTTTTTGTTTTTTGAAACGCAGGGCCCGCTTCCCAGCCCTTCTTTTTCTTTTTTTTTTTCAAGATTTTCCTTTTTTCTTGTTATCAGTCAAGAGGATGCTTGCCATGCGTCCTTCGGGACAGCCGTTGAAATTGGAACGATCCAGAGAAAGAAGATTCGCATGGGGCCCTGCGCAAGGATGACACGCATAAAATCGAGAAATGACCCAAAAAAAAAAAAGGATGCTTGCCGGTTAACGCTGGAGGGGCTTATAGATAAACCTGTTTCTGTTTTTTTTTTCCCCTCTTTTTCTCCTTTTTTTCATTTTTTCCTTTTTTTTCTTTTTTTTTAATTTTTTTCTAGGCTACCAGAGTGGCCCAGAGTCACTTGCCCGGCCGGGCCAAAAAAAATAAAAGTACAACAAATTTTAAATTTTAAACAATACTAAAATTTTCAAAATTTAAACATCATTTTTTATTTTAAATGTGATAAAGAATTTCGATGTGACGCTGACACAAAAGTTGTTCAGTTTACTTTTTCTGCATGGTATAGTTTGTTTTCGGGTTTTTTTTTTTTTTTTTTTTTTTTTTTCGCTGGGACTTTCCCTGGTCCCTGCACGGGCTGGCCACCCAGGACCCGGGAGGCCCGGCTGGTAGCCTAGTTTTTTTTCTCCGTTTTTTTTTTTTTTTTTTTGCAAAAGGATGCTTGCCTTGTAAATAAGTCTGCCACTTTCCTCTCAAAGAAAAGAGAACGATGCTTGCCATTAAACGCTGGGGCTTGTAGATAGACCTGATTCTTTTTCGTCATGCTATCGTGGTCCCTGGTCAAAAAAAAGAAAACGATGCTTGAATGGTGATGCCTCGTGTTTGTTTGTTTGTTTGTTTGTTTGTTTATGCCTCGTTCTCTTTTTCTTCTTCTTCTCTTTTTTGTGATTGAAAACATACCGAGGCACCCTGCTGCATCTTCTTCTTTTTGGCCTTCTTTCTATTTTTATTTTTATTTTTGAATGAACACCGACTGAGGCACCCTACTGCAGACGTGGATGAGAGGATGCCTCGTCCTCTACAGGGTATGCCAGGCACGATTCCGGGCTTGTGATAAAAAAATTATAAAATAGCAATATGGTTTTTGGCACTTTTTTGAACTTTTCTGCAAAAAAGTTAAAACAGAAAAGGGAAAGAGAAGCAGCAAGAGAGAAGGAGCGGGAAACGAGAGGAGGACGGAGAGACGAAAGGACCATGACAAAATCAGATGACACGTACAAACCTAGGCTACCAGAGTGGACCCGGACCACTTCCCCGGCCAGGCCAAAAAAGAAATGCAAAAAATATATATATATCGTCACAAATATATATCGTCACAAATAGAACTGCCCGGTAAACCGTAGGCAGAGAGAGAGAAGAGGACAACAAACAAGGGGCTGTGACAAACTGTTTCGTCGGAGTTTCACCGACTCATCAGGAGTGTATATATATGTATTATCATACTATTATGTATATATATCGTCAAATAGAACTGCCCGGTAAACCGTAGGCAGAGAGGGAGAAGAGGACAACAAACGAGGGGCTGTGACAAACTGTTTCGTCGGAGTTTCACCGACTCATCAGGAGGCTGAACCCTCAACAGTCTGTAGAATCCCC